CATGTGAACCTCCGTTGAACTGTCAATATTATTAGCAACAGGACACATGGAGTAATGCGCGTGTTTTGTTGTTGTTGTTGTCGTTGGCACAGAGACAGGACATAAGACATAGAAAAAGATAGAGAGAAAAAGAGAGAGAGAGAGAGGGAGAGAGAGAGAGAGAGAGAGAGAGAGAGAGAAAGAGATATAGACAGAGAGAGAGAGTCAGCACGTTTGATAGAGGGGCATGTTTTATAATAAACTAATATGGGCACGTTCCAGAAGGGACGGGGAAAGGAGTGGAGGGAGGGGGTAGGGGGGGGGGGAATAAACGAACTTACTTTTCAGTTAATCCCACAAGTCAAGTTGATACTAGACACAACAGTGTAGTTATAGATAATCTATTTCAAGCGAACGAAAGAAGAAGAAGTTAATCCTAAAAAGAGCTCACTGACCTGTGTTATATTCAACCCTTCCGAACATAAAATTTTAATCTGCAGATGTATTGTATCTATAAAGCATGTTATGTTTACTGTAATATGCAAAATATGAATATAAAGTAAAACACACAAGCTTGAATAGCAAATGCTTACAATATATTATGCACACATACAAATGCCCATCCATTCATTTATTATTTCACCTGTAAATACATATATTCACTCATCCATACATTCCTCCATTCATCTATATTTCAAGTGCATCTTTTTCTGTCGGTACGCAACAGAACGTAGTACCAACTCATACTTTTAATGTATCTTTTTTTTTTTTTTAAACCCTGCTTTAAGAGAAATTTTATGGTGAGTACCGGCCCCTTTGTATAACAAAAACTTGCATCTATCCATCCGCGTATACATACATATGCATATGCATGCATGCATACATGCACAAAGATAGATTGAAAAGGGGGTGGGGGGGGGGGTGTGATCACTTCTTTTACAACTATATTATATAATACAATTATTTGACACTCAGACACCATTATTTAATTACCAACACTTAAACTTACCCGGTTCACGATTATCCCTCAATGTATAAGTAAATCAAGCCGTGCGACCAGTGTAGACGATAGAGCTGCTACATAGCAAAACAACGTCTATTGTTTAAGCCCCCCAACTCAATACAGCTATACTTTATAGCTCTACCAGTAACAAACCAAACTCCTCTTGTGTTTTGCAACAAGTAAATACCAATTCAGTCTGTATCGAATCACATAACACACGAGGGTGGCAGGTTTCTATGTGTCGAATGACTCGGCAGCATTAACTGAGAGCAGGTCGAGTCAACTCAATAATGTAGGTCATACGGCTTGCAAAAAAAAAAAAATATATCAAGGGTGTTTGTTCTTGCGTCACGTGTTTGAGAAGTCTGAATGTCTGCAGTTCAGATTAGACTTGGCAGCACGAAAATGACGAGGTCTTTATAAGGGGAGTCTATAGTGGGGTGCTTTTTGTTTTGTTTGTACCAGCGAGCGTTTGCAGTAGTAGACACCAGAGATGGCTGGTAGTCTAATGGGAATGTTTTGGTGCCAACAGCCACAGAGAGCCAGTGTAAAGAAATATAATGAACACGGAGCAAGAAACGGCATACTCAGAATATGGGATGGCGGCATCAGGAACAACTTTGGAGAAATGAAGAATAACCTTTTCAACGCATTGGCAAGTGCAGTGCAATTGTCTTTATACACCCACTCACACACAACCATCAATATTTTGAGGTAAATGGGTGATGGAGAAAAAGAAGAAGAAGAAGAAAAAGGAGAAGAAGACGAAGAAGAAGAAGAAGAAGAAGAAGAAGAAGAAGAAGAAGAAGAAGAAGAAGAAGAAGAAGAAGAAGAAGAAGAAGAAGAAGAAGAAGAAGAAGAAGAAGAAGAAGAAGAAGAAGAAGAAGAAGAAGAAGAAGAAGAAAAAGAAGTGCTGGTGCCGACCGCGGGCACGGCGTCGTTATCTTTCTCTTTCTTCACCACCTACTTATCTTCCCACTCACCTCTCTTTCTTCTTTGTAGTTTTTTCTCCCTCCCCCCACTCCCTTTATGCAATGGGCCTTCAACCAGTTTCACTGCATGCTTTCTTCAACTCCAAAAACATGGGGTTAAGGCACGCCAAAGAAGACACTGTGGGGGGGGGGGGGGGAGAATGCCCTATTTTAACAGAAAACGAATTTGAACTCACCCCAATATTTACGGAGATCCGTGGGGATCGTCACCTGAGCTACAGAGTTCGTGCTCTGTGCTGCGTTTTCTGAAGCCGGCTAGCCATTCTGCAAAGAGAGACCGAGCCATACGGGATAAAACCTGGCTCAATCAAGTCAATCCTCTCGAGTTTAAGCTTAATTAGAGAGTAAGTTGAAACAGGACTTTTTCTGAATTATCGAGAGACAGAGAACATAGTCTGGTTATCTAGCAACAATGCATTAAAACATAGCTGTATATTACATAGATGTATGTAGCTGTATATTACATAGATGTATGTAGCTGTATATTACATAGATGTATGTAGCTGTATATTACATAGATGTATGTAGCTGTATATTACATAGATGTATGTAGCTGTATATTACATAGATGTATGTAGCTGTATATTACATAGATGTATGTAGCTGTATATTACATAGATGTATGTAGCTGTATATTTCATAGATGTATGTAGCTGTATATGTAAAACATCTGCGTAGATGATGATTTGATTCGATTTGATTTGATTCAAGAACCGACATGACATCACTCGGAGCATTCTCTTATCAGCCGCTGACCCTTTACTGCACCAAAGTTTCGTGCAAAGGGTGGTCTGTGTCTGCAGCTACCCTGAGATATGACTTCGCCGGCAGCACCTTGCGCCTACCAGCAACAGTCGGCAAACCAAGGATGTATCGCATACACACCACTGGGGTGTCTTTGGTGCAACCTAGAATGACCCGCATAGCTGCGTTCTGTGTGCGCTCTAGTGTGTCCATCTGACTCTTTGAGACGGTAAGCAGTCCGAGGGCATGCGTAGATGATAAGAAAACGACTAAGGAAAATATGATTAACCATAAGGCTGAATCTTGCAACAACAAAAAGAAGATAACATCCATCACTCAAACCACTCGGGAAGGGCAAAACCAAGGCTATTGAAGACGGCCTTGGCAAAACAATTACAGAAAACAACACGACATCAAGTAACAGTGTATCGACAGAAGAAGAAAAAGAAGAAGAAGAAGAGGAAGAGGAAGAAGAAGATGTCACTGGTTTTTGAATCAGTAGTGAACCTTACTTTGCACTCGGACAAAGGGAGTCACTGCCCCTGCTAATAACAATGGCGAACAGAAAGAGAAGCCGGATCTAAGGATGCAATTTTTAACAGTCATGTTTTAAAGGTCTACACATCTTCACGTTAACCTTTTTCAAAATTTGAATTCTCTGAACTTTTACCTTAATCAGTTATATGTATTTTGTAGACATCTGGCGGTATGCAAACAGTGACACCGACAATAATTTACAGAAATATGCGATGAACAACAGTGATGATTTTGTTGTTTACAAAATAAAGGTTATCATTGAGACTTTATGTATGATGTAGTTCATTGTAAAATTATTTCATGATGCTGATCATACTAATAGCAATTTCATTTCTTATGACTATCTATGTTTAGTAAAATTTTATGAAACTAAATTCTTCTACACCAGTATATTAATGGTATAATTATAATATAATTTAAAAAAAAAAAAGCCTACAAAGTAAGTATCAGTATCGGAACCCTTTCAAGCTTTAGTTACTGTTAACCTTAGGAGCATTGGATCTGGCGTATGACACGTATATTCTGATTATTTTTCTATTTCTATGGCTTAGGCATTATAAATACCATTTGTAATTCTATGATACCTGATTCCATTCATGCTAAGGACGATTTGGCAGCAAACCAGCTTTGTGGTGATTCATCTATACAATCTAAATCTTAGCCATTCAGTTAGCCAAGTACTCAATTTAAAAACGCCTACACAAATCATATATTTTTTTTTTCAACTGGTTCAGTATGTACTCGATGAGTGATATGTAAGCATTTAATACACACACACACACACACATGTATATACATATACACACACACATTATATTTACATACACATCTATATTTATATATATATATACACACACACACACACACACATATATATATATATATATATATATAATATATATATATATATATATATATATATATATATATATATATATAATATAAACATGGGAAAATGTGTATATAATTTTGCTAGTGTTTTAGTTTTCTAATTTTCTGTTAAGCTGCAGTATGCTGATAATATAGTTTTAGGTTTGATGGCTGAAAATGAAACAAAACTACCACAAATGATTCTAACAGAAAGTCAAAACAAGATTCTTAGCTTAAACAGCAGAAAAAAAAGAAGTAATTGTAATTACAAAAAAAAATGTTACTTTTAAATGCAGCCTCATAGTTAACGGGACAAAAATTAATCAGTTGGATGATTAGTAAAAAGTTTTTTGGAAGCAACGGAGATGTGGTTTTACAGACAAATGATGAGAATACTCTTGATAGATTCAAAAAAATGCTAAAGATGTCTTGAAAAGAACTGATTTAAGAAGAGAACTAATTGTGCGTGTCAGAAGGAGACAGTCTACAATTTTTTGTCATATAATAAGAAGGAGAAACCTGGAGTACATTGTGACGGTGAGAAAGTTGGAGGGGAAAAGAGGCAGTGAGAGATTGAAAGAAACGATGCTGGACAGTTTTACTTAATGAGATGTAAGATCATCTGTCTGAAAAGAAAATTCATAAGACAAAAGATTATGGATAGTTATGGCTACCAGCACCACAAGGCATGGACAATAAGAAGAATATTCTCTTTATTAATTTTTATTACCCTTCCCCCCCCCCCCCCCCCCCCCCCCCCCCCCCCCCCACCCCCCCCCTTTTTTTTTCCCTTTCCCACTCATTTATTGCAATTTCATGAATTTTAATTACAACTGACCATCTACTTTTCACCAGAAAATGTATTTTGTCGAGTTATGAGCAACAAATCAAGAGGTGGATTGTTGGCAGGTGCCAATGAATCATTGTGCTGCTGTGAATACACGAACATGCATGGTGAAAAAAGTCATTTGTTAGCAGTCTGTTGTGATTGTGAGGCACTGGACGAAACTTTTGATAAGTATGTGTTTGTTTATTTGGAAAATGTAAATGTTCTATTCTTGTTATGAGAGTTTAGACAAATTAATTCTTATATGCTGTATATAGCCAGTTTTTCACGTATGGAGGTTAATCTTGAACAATTAAGCTGAAGAATTTATTTGAGGCTTTATAGATGTGGATTTACGGAAACATGTTTAACTCTTTGAGTTCCAAGGAACGCCTCATACCCAATGAACCCATGATGCGCCGATTTTATTACTCTCTTTACTACCCCCTGGGCCTGTGATGCTAAATTCCCTGAGACTCAAAGAGTTAGCATTCTTTTAACTGCCAAAATGAGTAACTAAGATGTTTTGAAAGAGGTGAGGACCCAATAAGAAGAAACTCCACAGGGGAGCATGTACAGCAGGGATCAGTAGACCAATACTTAACCCACCAAGAGATGAAAATATTAATACAATCTAGTATCCAAGAAAAGTGTCAACATATGTTCATATTTTTCGGTGTAGGAAATACGGAGATCTGTCTCTGCAACGTGGCACCCGAAAATGCTGAGCATGTGCTCCAACACTGTCAACTGTATGCTGACAACAGAGACACAATCTGGCCTGTTCCAACCACACTGAAGACAACACTGTATGTTACACGAGAGGATATAGATTGCACGATAGCTTTCATAAAGGCTATGGGCCTTCTGATATAAGTTTTCTGACAGAAGGATCGAAGAAGAAGAAGAAGTAGAAGACAAATCATCAATAGAAGTAACCTGTCGTCGACAAATGTTTCGTCCCACGAGCTCCTAGACATTTTCAGAGAGTGGGCCCACCTGAGTTCATGAAGCTCAAGGTTGGTTTCCCCTGCTGCACGTATTACCAGATGTTATTCGGACAGGGACAAGACGAATTGGTGATTTGCAAAAGGTACTGTGAATCCAAAGATATACCACAGTTATCAAAATAAAAACAGTCATCATATGTTAGGAGAAGAGAGACATTAGAACATGTTTGTGATGATTAGAAAGACTGCAAAGTCAAGAAAGGGAGATAGAGAACCGCGTGAGAAGATTCATAACAGCCATTTTTCATGGCATGAAAAGGTGTAAGCACATGAACTAACACATGCTGTTAGAGATAGCAGGTTGTGGAGGGGCATGATCACATATACTAGTTGGTAAGGCTCTTGAAGTGTGATGAGGAGGATATAGATATGTTTAGCGTATCTTCTTTAAAGACATAATTTGTGACTTAGGGAGTTGTAAACACATTCACACTCTTGACATACTGGAGTCAAATGTGATAAGATGGATTTGGTAACCGATTGTTTTATGTTCATTTTGACAATGGTATGGGTGTCATACTGGTCAAAAAGCAGTGGCAGACTTGTTGTCACCTTTCTGTCTTTTCAGATGGTAGTATTATATAGTCCAATAGAGAGGGAGCTAGAGCGTGAGGTTAAAAAGATGGGGATGACATGGGAAGAGCTGCATGTGGTAGCAAAGGATAGAACGACTTGGCCTGAGTTGGTTGAGGTAGTAACCAATAAGTGATCCTTTCTTCTTCTAACTCAAGTCTGAGTCCGAAGAAGCTCAGCACAGTGCACAGACTCTGTAGCACCGCCGAGGATCCTAAAATACTGTGGGTAGATTTTTTACTCCAACTTGTGCCCGGGCAGCGCTGTTAGGCTATTTTTTCTGATTTCCAACTGTCAAGGGATTTTTTATGTGCACAATACTGAACACAGGCGTCCGATCTCACTACCTAGAGACATTGGGGAATTACTAGAAGGCCAAGTCCACGTGAAAAAATCCCAGCCCTTACCGGGGATTGAACCCAGAATCTCCAGCACTCGAGGCAGACACCATGTTTAGGTATTATGGGGGAGAATCCCAGGGTTATGGGTTTGTTTTTCATGGTTTTGGGCAGAAGGGTCATTGGTGAACACAGAAGATTGCAAAAAAAGTAACAACTTGTTCGGTCAGAATAGGTTAGTGTTTACCTACCTGGGATGAAAGAGTTAATTGTGTATATGCAGATTTTACATTTATGTTTTTCCACAGAATTTTTAAATGTGAACGAGTCTCGGAGTCAACAATTGACCGTCTCCTGAACACCATCTCGGACAGATGTTGTCGACTGCCGACCTGTTTTGGCCATGGAGCTGTGAAACTTCGCCCGGACATTGTCACGCCAATTGTCGTTGTTCCGCTGTGCCTTGTTCTGGCCACTATTCATCCAGTTATGACAGTTGTGTGTTTCTTGTTCATGCCTATATTTATCATGACTTTTCATGCCCTCTGGAGACGGAAGGATACAAATCGACGATCAATGTTTTTTTATTCGTGGGGACTTTCTTCGATCATCTCTGCATATCTTGTGTTTCAGGTAAGATCAGATATGACATGAAAAGTTTGAGGACTCTTGTTTCCAAGTCACTGGGGCATATTGAGTATGTACATGACGGTCTCAGGATAAAGAATCGCAGTGGCCACTGCCACTGTTCATTATGAACACTGCCTAGAAGGAAAGCAGTGGCAAACTGCCTTTTTTTAAAAGGCTTTGAAAATGTAATTGAGCTTAACCTGTTCTTATCGGCATGGTAAATTATCACATAAACTACAGAACTGGATCCTGTACAAAATTGTAGGAATAAACTGCTATTTTGGGGGGAGGGGGGGGGGGGGGGTGCAATTATAATTATGATATTGTATTTTGGTTGTCTTGGTTATTGTGGCTGATTAGTGATTGACTGCTTTTCTGCCAGTGTTATTCATGTTTGGTGATTAGTTTTTGGACTAGTCCTTAAAATTATCCTTTTGAGGATTCTTTTTACCCACCGCTGCATTGCATCTTGTCTTTTATGTAGGGTTTTATCTGCTGTGTGCTTAGTTGTTTTTGTATTGCATGTCTTTTAGGGATCTTCTAAGACTCTTCTTCTGGCAAGATGTGTCCTCGTGCCTCTGCCGTCCTTCTTCAATGATCTTTTTGTGCTACTCTGGTATAACAAAATTACTAATGTAGGGCTTTTGGAGAGAACTACATTTCAGCACATCAGAAGGCGAGGGTAAGATGCTGGTGATGCATAAGACACCTTGAGAAAACGTAATAAAATAACTAGAATGACCTTACATTGGAACCACAGGTGAAAAGAAATAAAGAGAGAAAACATAAGGCAAAGATAATTAGTTATCTTGGTGAATACATTTCGAAGGACAAGGTATGAGCTGCATTTGATGGCCAGTGATAGGACCACTTGTTGCAGATTGCTTGAGGACCTATGCTGCATTGTGGGGTTACAGAGTAGAACAAAGGAGCTGAATGGTCTCGAGCCATGGCATCCACCTTGAGTGCTGGAGGTCCCAGGTTCAAGCCCAGGTGAAGGCTGGGATGTTTTCACGTGGACTTCTAATAATTAACCCTGGTCTCTGGGTTAGTAAGATCAGATGCCGGTGTATATTGTTGCGCACGTAAAAAAAAAAAATCCCTTGGCAGTTGGAAATTGAAAAGAGAAGCCTAACTGCGCTGCCTGGGCAAAATTTGGAGTTAGAAAATCTACGCAAATATTTCAGGATCCTAGTCGGTGCTTCAGAGTTTGTGCATTGAGTTTAGATTTTCGGACTCATGCTTGAGTTAGAAGTAGAACGGAGCACTTATGGGTTACTACCCTTGTGCCATGATGTTGATCCGTTGTATAAACAAACAAACACTTTAATTTTAAAGGGTGACTAAAGGGAAACTCTCGTCTGCTTACATTCTACCCAAACACTCCTTTCACACAGCAATTGTATTTTATCTTTATATCATATTCATGAAGCAGTGTAAGTAAAATGACACTTTTCCACGCCCTCAGACGTATCGGGCATATGGGAGCTAGGCTTATATTTTATAACCCGTCGGCACTAGGTGGGTGCCACCTTTACTTCCTATGACTCTACCTAATACCCATTTGCTGCTAGGCCGACCTGAAAACCAAGGTCATTTTTTAAGAAGAAAAAAAAAAAGAGTCTGGCTTGGTCAGAACCAGAATCCACGAACTTCAGCATGGGTGGCAGATACATTCATTAAAATATACACACAGACATTGAAATAAATATACGCGCGCTCACACACTTGACACTCATACACACACATGCAGTAAAAATGCATACACACATGCATGCATACGCATACATACACAGACAAAATAATTATAATGATGTGTAATAACATGTAAGGTCAAAAAAAAAAAAAAAAGAACCTGGTGCAGGTTTTAGGGGTCTCTTTTTGGGAGAAAAAAAAAATAATAACCCACTCTCCCTTAACAAGCATGTTGCAAAAGGAGATTAATGAAAAGTTTGCAGAAGGAGACTTGTTAAAAGTTACAAAAGGAAACTTATTAAAAGTTTGCAGGAGACATTAAAAGTTTACAGAAGGGAACTCATTAAAAGTTTGCAGAAAGAGACTCATTGGAAGTTTGCAGAAGGAGACTCATTAAAAGATTGCAGAAGGAGACTCGTTTAAAGTTTGCAGAAGGAGACTCATTAAAAGATTACATAAGGGGACTCATTCTTCCAATATGCCAAATGCGCCTAAAAGGCAGGAAAAGGGATCTTTACTTTTACTTTTGAAAGTAGACTAATTAAAAGTTTGCAAAAGGAAACTAATTAACAGTTTGCAAAAGGAGACTAATTAAAAGTTTGCAAAAGGAGATTAAGTTTACTGAAATCAAATGTGATAGTTAAGTGACACAGATATCACAGCCTAGCTGTAAACCACAGCACAGCATGCCAGCTGCCCTTCTTTGGGCAAAAGAAGAAGTGGTAGTTCAGCTTCTTCTATACATTATCATTCATGTATTGTGTTGTATTATTGTTTGTGTTGCAGATCTTTGTTGTTGCCTTCCGAGAGGTGTTGCTATGGGAGATCCTGACTGTGTTTACATCAATGGTCATCATGTTCTATTTCCTGTACCTGACAAAACGGGATCCGGACCGACTGATCATTCAATCCAAGACTCGGCCCAGCCACAAGCGAACTCCCTCCAACCCCCTTGTGGACGCTTCTAGCTCTTTTTACGACCAGGTATGGATAAATGAAACTCTCTCTGGGTTCTGGGGATCTGTTTTGATGGGGAAAGAATTGACCTAATACACCTTTAAAAGGGGGGGGTTTTCTTTCGAAGTCAGAATGTATCTGCTTGAGAGGCAAGAAAAAAACAGACTGCTTACAAATAATCCAGCTTTGTAGAACTAATGCACATGCAAAATTCAAGTTCTAAAAAGTCTGGAAACAGACTAACTCCTGAAGTTGATGAATAACCAAAAACTCTGCTAGAGTTGGTGAATGCTAAGAAGAAGGTAATGACACAGCACCTTGCTCTAAATTAGTTGAGAAGCCAAAGATCAGATGGCATAGTCAGTTTTGGCTACCACTACCAACAAAAGGTGCTAAACCTTAAACAAAAAATGTGATTTAATTAAAATTAGATATTGATTATTATTATTATTACTATGCCAACTGATAAATGAGTGGAATGATGTATTGAGGAATGAAGCCAAAAGGGCAGAATGTAAGATGGGCCTGCATAGCCTATTCCCAACCCTACAAAACTAAAGTTTATTCGTCCATTTGTGGTTTGCAACTAAGCTGTAATATCTACACATCCAATTTCATTAAATTGTTAATTTGATGCATTTCACAGCATGCTTGTTAGGAAGTGGTGGTCTGTCAACACCCCCCCCCCCCCCCCCCCCCGCCTTCTTTTTCGCCACCCCAAAAATAGGGCCCTGGAACCCACACGGGGAGATAATGAGGAGAATAAAACATTAAGGAGGAGAAAAAAAGATGTAGTGAAAAAAACAGTTGCTGGATGTATAAGTTTTTTTTTTTTTTTTCATTTTCAATATATTAAGAGGCCTTTCTATGCCCTGAGAAGCAGTGCTTCAGGAATGCTTCATCGTTTATGCATATTGCAAGCAACATTTGGTGGATAATGTGTTCAACATCTTGCTGACTGCCTTTTCTTCATTAAATATTTCCTCAGAGTGGCTCCTGTGACCTTCTTGTACTGAAGAAGTCATTGTATCCCCAAGCACACACTCACACATGCAGACACACACACACACACACACACACACACACACACACACACACACACACATACATTAGAAAGCATAAACAGAAAATGCAGACATTCCTTACTTTCTCAGATAAATGGCCAGAATATGCAGCAGACACTTCAAGATGGGGATTTTTCAAACCTGACTTTGGAAACTGCGGCAGGTAGTTCACCTGGAAGCTGGCCAGAGTCAAGAACAATGGGAGGTAAACTTGCAATCGTTATCTCTGAATAGATTGAATTCCCATGTGGGTTCTGCGACCCCATTATGGGAAAATAAGAATAGACTCACTGCCTACCTTAAAGCATGTTGTAACGGTCGACTAATGGGAAGCTTTCTTTCAAGTCAGAATGCATCTGCCTGAGAGGCAAGGAACCAACAGTCTGCATACAAATGAGTCAGAACTGTAAAATGAAAGTGCATGCAACATACATTCGGGAACAAGACCCAGGAGTGGATGAGCAACCAGAACTTTCTGCCACAGTTTACAGTCAATGAACTCGAAGAAGAAAAATGAATCAAGAACAGACCCACCTTATCATCCGTATGGGCCTCTGGGCAAACCATTGTGCTGGGGCCTCTGAAAACTATTCACAGTAGAAAATAACCAAAGGACACTAACTGCCTGGACCTCTGAAGCGATACTGGCCCCTGTGCCTAGAGCATGCCTGTCTCCACATTTGTTCAACATTCTCGGTGAGTCAGTTACATTTACGTACCTGGTGATGGTTGTTGGGGAGGAGGCTGGTATGCACTATATATATATATACATACACACACGCACATACACACACACATGCGTTGCTCGCACACGTGGGTGAACACACACATATATATGGTGCTAAGAAGAAGATTTATGAGACAGATTCTAAACATCATATTACTACCAACACTTGGCTACCATTGTTTAACTTTGACATTCTCTGAGGCTAGCCTATGGAAAATTAACACCTGTTAGGTTTGGTGCCTGAAGAAAGCTTTCAACTTGATGAGCAGTATGGTCAATACCACGCTGGCTGAGTTTACTTTCCAGGGCATATCCTGGTATGCTTTTAAGTGTCGCTGGCCTGGAAGCCCGCAATAAATGATATTGTTACTTTATACTAGCAATTGACATGTTAATGTCTCGACCTAAAAGGCTGGACTCAGTCTATTCCTCTTGACCATAACCTTTGTTTTGACCTCTAAGCTTTGTCTCAGCTGATAACCTTTTACCTTGAACCTGCAGGGAAGCTGGATCTTCCGCCCAGGACGGGCTACTGCAGGATCTGTCAGGAATACATTGCCGTAAGAGATCACCATTGTGTATGGTAAGTCTGTTTGTCCAGATGTACCAGATACAACACAGACTGACTATACAATTCAACAGACAAGATAACAGCTCATACACACTAAAGGAAAACAGGAAACCAGAAATGTATCATAGGAGACAATGCAGACATGAGGGTTTATATTGCAGTACAAAACAAATGAGAAGGCATATGAAAAAAAATGCTGCTATAGGATATAAACAAGTTCTAAATAAATAAATCTGTCCAGATGATGATTGTTGAAATTAAAATTAGAAAGCACCTTTGTTAGTTTTGATCATGCTTTGGATCTTTTTCCCAAAGGCATGCTGGTGTGTTGAGAAATGAACAAGCAGACAGATTGTCTGGTTGTGCTCCACTGGCTGGTGAACTGATGCATGGCAAGGCAAATGTGGTTAGGCACTATGGGCGCACAGAACAGAATGGCAAATTGAAAAGACCATCATAGTCCAGAGAGAGAGATGCAGCAGGCAGTGACCAGAGACTTAAGGGAAAAATGGGCATGTAATCAGACTGCATCTGGCACCGTTGGTGCCCTCTTTATTCCCGACCTTACCCTGAAAACAGAAACACCAGTGGCAGAGAGAGACCAGGATTTAAAGAGTCACAGCCTAAGATTTCACAAGATCAAGCAACCCAGCACACACTAACTGTTATGTGTTACACTGTGGCACAAAGCAGATATTGACAAAGTAAGAAGATTCTTCTTCTTCTACTCCTCCTCTTCTCTTCCTTCTGCTTCCCTTTATCACCCATTGGAGCATAGGCCCTCAACCAGCTCAGCCACATTGGCCTATCCTTTGCTGTTGCATACATCTCACCCCCATGTCTTCTCTATCACTTTAAACTTCATTCTCTAATTCCCTTCTGCATGTGTATTTTGGTATGACTTTATTTCTGTGCCCCTGTGAGTTCCAGTGCAAAGACATTCTAGTTTTATATTGTTCTCATGTTTTCTCAGCGTGTGTGCTATCCAGTGGCAGCATCTCTTCTTCACCTCTTGATTCACTGGAATGTGTTCTTTCCTAAAGCTAAACAATGGCAGTTGTATTGTACCATTTAATTCCCTCTATTCTACGCAAGCACCACCTAATGAATGCTTGTGGTTTGTTAGTAATTGGTTTAGTTGTTTGTGTTTCTGCTCTATACAGCAGTTATGATTATGCTGGTCACTTTGACACATGTAATGATAATGATATATGATCTGTTCAGGATCGACAGCTGTGTGGGTGCCAGCAACCACCGCTCATTTCTCCTGACCATGATCATGTTTATTTTGACCGGTGTGTATTCCATTCACCTGACCTTCACCACAGTGTGCACCCCTAAGATGTACCTAGATTGGTTTCTGATGCCAAACGATTGCAGATGGCTGTATAATGACTTCCTGTAAGTTACTTTAAATAACTACATATTTTTTTTTTTTCATTATTAAATGGGATCAATATTTTCTGCAGGAGATGCCAGTGCATTGGGAAATGAATGGGCGGGTAGATTGGTTGGTTCTGTACCACCTGGTGGTAAATGCATTACATCAAGTTAGATGTTTGAAGAACCCGTTGATTGTTCATGTTTGAGATCATCTTCATCGCACATTGGACATGACCATAAGAGCTCCAACCTCCTCCTGAGTATGTCTCAAAGTGTTTTTAGGCTAACAGCTCCCTTTCTGTTCTGGTTCATGTAATGACCGGCGGCTCCCGCATGGTTTTCCTGTCTCGCAGATCCAATTGGTACACCGACTGTATGCAGTCTATTCAGTAAAAAAAATCATTTTCCACGAAACTGAAAGCCTCACAGCCTTTAGTCCCTTGTATGGCATTGATGATGTCTTTCCTGTCCGTAGAGGACCCATTTCTGATGGTCACACTGCCAGTCAGGGTGTCTGCTCTCTCATTGCCTTTCACACCAGCATGTCCTGGGACAAATATGAAGGTGATTTTGTGAAATGCTGCATGCTGTATCAGATGGAGCCACTGTGTGTACCCTGCCCTGATCTCCTATAGCATGCTCATTGAGTCGCTGAGCAAACAAGCATTGGTAAACTCCTGAGTATTCAGCCATTCTACGGCCTTTGTCACATCTGTGACCTCCATTGTCATGCTGTTGGTGGTAGAAGCAAAGGCTCCGCTATCTTTAATAACTTTAAGAACATGTTAAGAGCTGGTGAACAGTGTGGAGGCACAAATATATCACCACATCTAAAGAAAATGATGCATCAAGGAGTGACCAGGGAATAAGTCTGACACTCTGAACTTAGTGAAGGACGAGATGGACATACTATCAGACTGTTGTGGTACTATCAGCTTTGGAACTCTGCGTTTGGAGTGCTTATATTAATAAGTTGATAGTTCTTAACTCCTCAACTCTTAAATGTGATGGATTTAATAAAAATGAAGAAATAAGAGAAATTTCCTGGCAGCCCCTGGTAGCAACAGTAATGAGACAAAGAAGATGACGTTATATGGAGCACATTCTCATAAGAAAATTAATTGCCTATCCTTTTACAGAACGTTGCAGACCAAATCCAAGCATTTTCTTGGCTGTTGTGGTTTTTCTAGGCAAATTTACATCCAGTGATTTGCCATTGCTTTCTGGACGGTTGGTTTTTTGATACCATTGTCACAGCCAGCGCAAGGCCTGCAGCTGGGATCAAACCTGGCACCACAGCAGTGCAAAGCACGTTCGCAACGCCTAAGCCACTGACAACGACTCTGATAAGAAGCAGGCAGGAAATCACCAGACAGGCACTGAAATTGGAAACAGCTGGATGGAGGAAATGAGGGTGTCCTAGCGAAACCCAGAAACAGCTGGATGGAGGAAATGAGAGCGTTCTAGCGAAACCCAGGAACAGCTGGATGGAGGAAATGAGAGCGCCCTAGCGAAACCCAGGAACAGCTGGATGGAGGAAATGAGAGCGCCCTAGCGAAACCCAGGAACAGCTGGATGGAGGAAATGAGAGCGTCCTAGCGAAACCCAGAAACAGCTGGATGGAGGAAATGAGAGCGTTCTAGCGAAACCCAGAAACAGCTGGATGGAGGAAATGAGAGCGCCCTAGCGAAACCCAGAAACAGCTGGATGGAGGAAATGAGAGCGCCCTAGCGAAACCCAGGAACAGCTGGATGGAGGAAATGAGAGCGTCCTAGTGAAACCCAGAAACAGCTGGATGGAGGAAACCCAGAAACAGACGGTGAGAGGAGCCAGCAGAAGGATTGCACAGAATTGAACGGAATGGAGGATTAAAATGCAAGCCATGTGTGATATGACAAAACAGGTGATGATGGTATGTCAGCTGGCTAGTTGTTACAGAACTGACAGTTTGCCCTATGCAGTATTGCATGTGCAGGCTTGCTGATTTTACAAGTTACTTATCGATTTTAGGACTTTGCTAACGAACCCCCAGTATTTATTGGGGGTAGTTATCTGGGGCTTTTTGGTTGGGAGCAGTTTTATTATCTGATCCAGTGTCAGCTGCAGCTTCATAAAAAAATAATTTGGCTGCTGGCTACTTTTATCCCTGACCTGTCTGCCTTGACTTCATGTAACTCTTGTTTCATGGGGGTGACATTCGCATCCCCGGGCTCTTGCTCACCAGGTGTCCCGCTGGCTGGTGGAAGGGAGGGGATGCCTTGTAGTGGTGATAAGATTAACCTCATCCGAAGTAGCAGACTACTGAACATAAACATTGTCTAGCTAAGACACAGCAGCCCATATATTAGTTTGTGACATCCTGAAAAAACAAAAACATGCATAACAATCTGAATATCTGTGCTTAAATGACCGTGATATATCATCTCTCATATTGTCTTTGCAATGTATTATTTCAAGTGCCTGTGGCATATTGTGTCTTACAGGTTGTTAATGCAATATATTGTTTTACGTATTGGTGTAAAGTCTCTCTTTACAAGTTCAGAAAATGTCTTGTCTTACTGTCACTTCTCATGTTGCTTATGTAATTTCTTATTTCACTTACGTCTGTGGGAGCCGCCGTGATGTAGTGGCTACATGCTCACCTGCAGATCAAAGGGTCATGGGGTCAGGTCTTGACGGAGTTGGACTTTAAAACCAAAATTCATCAATCAGCAAGTCCTTTACAGAACGTCGCTCTCTTCACGGCACGCCTGAAAGTATCCCTTTCTCTAGCCAGCTCTCCAGCCCCATGTGCTTTCAATGCCAATGCATCTTCAATGTCTTGTATCCATCTTCTCGGTGGTCGACCCCTGCCTCGTCTTCCAAACTGTACCTTCCATCACTGTCTTTTCCAAGCCACCATGACGCTTGATATGGCCTTAAACTTTCAGGACTGGGTGCTGTTTATGAGCCAGTTCTCCTTGATGTTCAACTCGTTCAGAATGTCGATGTTACTCCTCTTCCTGATCCATAGTATTCTAAGAATTTGTCTATAGCATTTCAATTCAAAAGCTCCAGTCTTTTTCCTCAGTGACTGGGTGAGAGTAAAACCAAAATTACCTAGCTTTAAATGGGTACCAGGTGAAGTAAAGGTGGCCAGGGTGATGCTGATAACATCACTTACCAACTGCTGATTGGTCTATAAAATATATGTCTAGCCCTAAATGCCCACGATGCCTAAAGGTTTGGAAAAGGGTCCGTTAATACTGGCTGGGTAATATGTTATTGGTGTAATGTTTGCATTTTTGTCACTTCACTCAGGTTGTCTATGTAATGTCTTCTCTTGCACATTGTCTGAATATGTAATGCCTTATTTTTTCACATACCATCTGTGTAATGTCTTATTCTGCATAATGTCTGTGTTTCTGTCACTTCACTCAAGTTGTCTATACAATATCTTGTCTGACACATTGTCTGTGTATTGTCTTACTGCAGTGTAGTCTTATTTTTGTTATTTAACCTCTTGGAAGTTGTGTATATAATGCCTTTTTTTCACATATTGTTAGTTTTATGTCACTTTTCATAAGTTGTCTAGTTTTGTATTGCATGATACATTTATAAAATGCTCAATCTCATTGTCTCTGCACATAATAACTCATATATTTGATCCATTTTTTCCTCCCGATACACAAGCATTATATATTTAATCTATTTGTCCATCCTCCTCCACAGAAGAACTATATTCGATCCATTTGTCCATCCTCCTCCACAGAAGAACTGTATATTTGATCCATTTGTCCATCCTCCCCCACAGAAGAAGTGTATATTTGATCAATTTGTCCATCCTCCCCCACAGAAGAAGTGTATATTTGATCAATTTGTCCATCCTCCTCCCCAGGAGAAGTGTATATTTGATCCATTTGTCCATCCTCCCCCACAGAAGAAGTGTATATTTGATCCATTTGTCCATCCTCCCCCACAGAACAACTGTATATTTAATCCATTTGTCCCTCCCCCATAGAACAACTGTATATTTGATCCATTTGTCCCTCCCCATAGAAGAAATGCAGTTGATTCATTTGTCCCTACCCCATGGAAAAACTGTAGTTGATCCATTTGTCCCTCCCTCACAAAAGAACTGTATCCATGTCTCTCTCTCCCCCCCCCCCCCCCCCCCCCCCCCCCCCCCACAAACCCCCCCCCCACCCCCCCCCCCCCCCCCCCACCCACCCCCCCCCCCACTGTATATTTTATCTATTTGTCCCTCCCCCACAGAATAACTATATTTGATCCATTTGTCCCTCCCCCACAGATCAGCCATTTGTCCCGCCCCCACAGATCAACCATTTGTCCCTCCCCCACAGATCAACCATTTGTCCCTCCCCCACAGAACAACTGTATATTTGATCCTTTTGTCCCTCCCCCTATGGAAGAACTGTATATATGATCCATTTGTTCCTTCCCCTACAGAAGAAATGTAGTTGATTCATTTGTCCCTCCCCATGGAAGAAATGTAGTTGATTCATTTGTCCCTATCCCACAGAAAAACTGTTGTTGATCCATTTGTCCCTCCCTCACAAAAGAACTGTATTTTTGTCCCTCCCGCACAAAACTATATTTTATCCATTTGTCCCTCCCCCACAGAAGAACTGTATGTTTCATCCTTTTGTCCCTCCCCTGCATAAGAACTGTATATTTGATCCATTTGTCCCTCCCCCAACAGAAGAACTGTATATATGATCCATTTGTTCCTTCCCCTACATTAGAACTGCATATTTGATCCATTTGTCCCTCCCCCTGTGGAAGATATGATCCATTTGTTCCTTCCCCTACAGAAGAAATGTAGTTGATTCATTTGTCCCTCCCCATGGAAGAAATGTAGTTGATTCATTTGTCCCTATCCCACAGAAAAACTGTTGTTGATCCATTTGTACCTCCCTCACAAAAGAACTGTATATTTGTCCCTCCCGCACAAAACTATATTTTATCCATTTGTTCCTCCCCCACAGAAGAACTGTATGTTTCATCCCCCTACAGAAGAAATGTAGTTGATTCATTTGTCCCTCCCCCCACTAAATGACTTTAACATATTTCACCCCTTTGTCCCTCCACAGAACCGCTATATGCTTTGTCACTGCAGTCTACTGTACCATCGCTGTGTCACTAATGTGTCTGGGCCTCCTGTACCAGGCCCTGCTCATCAGCCAGAACTTAACCTCACATGAACTGTCGCAGGCCCATCGCCAAGGCTTGACAACATGTGTTTTCTTCGTCAGAAACAACCCCTATAATAAGGGCTTTTTGAGAAATTGGCTGGAGTTTTGGCTTCTTCCAACAAGGGCTGGCACCTCTGGGATGATGGTCTGATGTTGGTTGTAATGTTGAGATATTTATTTGTGAGGGCTTTAATTATATTGTGGGGTTAATTATGGGTATGGTTAGAGCTTGAAAAATGTGGCTGGGACTTGAAATGTGGGTATGATCAGGGCTCCAAATATAAGTGTAGTCAGAACTGTAAATATGGGTGTGGCCATGTCCGAAACAGTTGTAGTGGTTAGCATTTGAAGTGAAGTTGAAGAACCATTATAGACATGGAAGAAGTTACATGCGTTCAGAAATAAACATCTGAGGAAACCTGATGAACTTGAAAGAGGATAAATTCAAGAGAGGTAGAGAAATAAGGAAATGTCTGGACAGCCGCTGATGTCTATGCCTATAAGAAAAAGAAGATAGCTCTATATTAGGTACATCCTGAAAAGAAGCAAACAGAGAATCAGCAAATAGACACTGAAATGGGAAATAAATGAATTGGGGAGCATAAAAACAAACAAATACGAAAGAGTTCCAAAGGTGCTCGACTGTATTACATCTGTGATATCGACAGGAGATAGAATAGAATGGAAGACTAAACTGCAAGCACTGTGTGACATATAATGACACAACAGGATGATCACTATGTTGAGGTGGTCGGGATGTTAAATGTGGGTGTAGTCAGGGCTTGTAATGTGGATGTTGTCAAGATTTACAGTGTGAGTGTTTTCAGGAAATCCAGAGTGTAGGTATTTTAAAGAAATGCACTATGGGTGTTTTCAAGAAATACATTTTGGGTGTTTTCCAGAAGTGTCTTGTGGGTGTTTTCCAGAAGTATCTTGTGGGTGTTTTCCAGAAGTGTTGTGGGTGTTTTCCAGAAGTATCTTGTGGGTGTTTTCCAGAAGTGTCTTGTGAGTGTTAGGTGATATCTACATACTGCTACCTGATGGTTGTCACACCCCAGCAACTTCAAGATCACTCCTGCAGGACAAATTTGAGATAACCCAGTTTGCTCTCCAAAGAGGTTGTAATGAATGCACCAGTAGCTATCTGTTCACACCTAAGTGCTGTTTTGTTGTCATCTGCAGCCCTGGGCGGGTAAAGATCATTTGTATAGATTTGGTTTTACTTTATTCATTCCATGTAAATAAGCAGTTGAGCTGAGTTAAAAAACAACCTGAAATCAGAGCACTCTGGACATTCCCATAAGTGCTGCTTCCCCATCTTAAACAGCCGGCAAAGAGTTCTAGTGCCAATGGTACTAGTAGTAGGTTAATGTCTGTTTTGCCTTTCCTCTGAGTGTAGAGCGTCTGCTAGATTTCTGGGTCAGAATTCTCTCCAGACCATTATGATCTATGCATGCTTCAGCGTTGTTCCCTTGCTCCCCAAGGGCATTGGCTATCTGCCTGTTGTGCATTAATTCACTGGCCAATCTGTCTGCCTGCTTATTTCTCAACACACCTGCATTTTTAAGAGTAAATATCCAAGAACACTATCATAGTCGGGACCTCTTGTGCCCCTAAACTGTGCATGCTTGTCTCCACCTTTCTCAACATGCTTTGTGCTCTGACTGCCAGCTACTGAGTTGAGTGCATGGCGTGGCACTGTAAGCTGCGGATTTCATTTGGAATGTTTTTCGACTGTGGCCAACGTGGTGTTTTGAACTGTAGATTCAGAAAATGGACCGTGGCCTGTCGTCGCAATATTGATGGTGCCCTTATGTGATTAATATTGATCGCGTGCGCAACTGCTGATCTGTTGGCAACTTCTGCTACCGTCGATGATGAACTGCATTTCTAATGTCAAACTGTTTGTGTTAGCACTTCTGATGGCTACCGTATGCTTTTAATGCGTGTGCATGCTAGTGCATATGCTGAGACAGCAGTCTGTCAATCTCTCCACAAGGGACTGCGATGAACATTCTGTGTGTTTTTCATTGGCACAGGAGCGTAGCAACTTTGGGGTGACCCGTTTGCTATGAAGCTGAAACTGAGATTACCAAGACTGCCTCTATTTTTAGACTCGATAAGGTAATATTGTATCCTAGGATCTGTTGCACTAAGTGATGTCCATTCACTTCTGCAGTGAACCCCAGTGCCTCTCAACACACATCAATTTGTTCAGATAATAACATCACTCCCCCGTGTGGGTTCCGGGGTCCCATTGTAGGGAAAACAAAAATAGACCCACTGCCTCCCGAAAAGCATGTCGTAAGAGTCGACTAATTGGGGAGCTTCCTTTGAAGTCGGAGTGCATCTGCCGGAGAGGCAAGGAACCAACAGTCTGTATTCAAAAGAATGAGATCTGTAAAACTGATGCACATGCAACACTCAGGTTCTGGAACGGGACTGCAGTTCAGTAGTGGACGAGCAACCAGAACTTTCCGCCAGAGTTTACAGCTGGTGAACGCGAAGAAGAAGACAATAACATCACTGGTATAGGAAGTGTTAGGAATCAGTTTTAAAATTTCTTATTCTACGGTGCCAGAGGTTTCAAGCTACTCTTTTTAAAATGGGGGGGGGGGGGGGGTGGCTTTCCTGTTACTTACATTTTCTTTAGTGTTCTCCATCTCATAGTCCACACTGTTTGGTTTTAGTAATAGTTGTCTGTCCCAGGTTCTGTCATTCATTTCTGATACAGACTTGCTTTCTTGCCATAAGCCCAACAATTTAACATTCTCTCTATTGTTCTGCTTCAGCTTCTCCTCCCCTCCATTTTTGTGGTGTTATGATGTAGCCAAAACACAGAGATTGTTTAAAATGTTTGGAATAGCACCGTCATCTTTTCACATTGTCAGTAATCTTTCTTTTTTCTTCCCATGTTGAATTGAGAATTGACATCATAGCACTCAGGACACCCCCATAAGCGCTCCATTCCCATCTTCAGCAGCAAGTGAAGAGTTAAAATTCCGATGGAACGGTAACTGTCTGATTGTATATCCGTCTCGCCCTTACCCTGAGTGCCGAGCGTCGGCCAGATCCCCCTTGTAACTCCTCGCAGCGCCATTCTTCTCAGACCGTAATGATTTATCTGTGCATCGGCACTGTTTCCTTGCTCTCAAAGAGCCCTCACAACATCCAGCTTGTCATACATCAGTTCACCATCAACTGGTTTAAAACCAGCCTGTCTATCTGCCTGCTCATTTCCCAACGCACCGGCATTACCTGTAGAAAATATCCAAAGGATGCTAACTACCCGGGACATTTGAAGTGATGCTAGCCACTCTGCACGGAGCATGCCAGTCTCCACCTTTCTCAACTTGCTCTGTGAGTCAGTTGCAATGACAGCATGTGTGTACAGCTGATTTTCAAGCCAGCGGAAGGCAACAGTGACTGCCTCCACCTCCATTCTCAAACTAGACGTGATATCCTTTTTTCCCATAAAAGATAGATTTTCATTTTATGCCAAATTGGTGGCCAGAAGTTTAAGATCAACCAGTAAATAGTTGATTTTACCATAATTTTATGAAGTATTCCATCTGCTGTTATTTAATGGTCCACTAAAGGCAATCACTGTAGTCATAATTCTCCCCTAAAATAACAATTGATGCAATGCTTTGTAATAGTATTAAAATATAAGTGATTTCTAAGTGATATTAAGCATTTAACTACAATTTTAAAACATGAACATTTGATATGTATGCAGTTTCTTCCCAGATTTTTGTTTTCACATTGTAAGTTTACCATTTGAGGGGGTTGTTTTATATATGGCTGTTGGGTTACATATTCTCTTCTGGATTTCACACAGTCTTGGATATATATCATCATGCTTTCTGAAATGTACGATAATTTATTGTTATCAGTCTCAACGCCAAGCTGAGTATCGCTAGTATGTCAGGATTATGAAACTGTTTTCAGAAGCCACAGTCCTGGATATATGGTTGGCACCACAATAAAGTAACCTAGGTGATACACTGTTACAAGACAATGGTGTGTGAACATTGAGATTTCTCTGTAAAATTGTGAAGTTACATGAAAAGTAACACATTGGTACCTCAGTATACTTTAGCATACCTGTAACTTGATACGTGTCCTATTTAGACTCGACCAGTTTTGCTTGATATAGAACTCGCGTGCTGGAACTTCGTGGGTTCGCTCCCTGGCGAAGTCAGACTTTAAAAAAAAATGACCTTGACTCCCAGGTCGAACCAGCCTTGAGTAAGTACCGGGTGCAACCCCAGGAAGTAAAGGTGGCCGGTGTGATGCTGACCACATCACCATCTTGTGCTGTTTGGTCTATAAAAATATAGGTCTAGCCCTATATGCCTAAAGGGGCAGAAAAGGGTCCTTTTGCTGGAACTTGTTTGAGTAAGAATAATTCATAGCATCACGCACTACCTCTGTTTAGCTTCCTCATTAATCAAGGAATGTTTGCCAAATGGACGGGTGTTAAAAACTTTGCAGAGAAGTACCACCCCAACAAAGCTCAAATAAGCCTTTTAATAGCACATGGTGGAATGACCAAACCATGTCACATTTCTGAAACATCCTGAGGAGAAAGCAGAAGCCATGTTCTTTGGGCCGATTTTCAATAAAAGTCAAACCTGTTGAGCCTCAGCCAGGTTCAAATAGGGAGAAAATACAGAAAAAAAAAATACCACAATTTCAGATTCTTGAAGTTTTATTAGAAGGACACTCTCTATTTAAAAAATAACATCTCCTTCTCCCTTCCCAGTAGGTAACACTCTTCTCAGCAAGGTAGAGAGGTAACATTTTCATTCACTTTGTCTAATTACTTCTGTATTTTACAATCAACCCCCATTAATGTATAATATGCCACTAACAATAATTTTTTTTTCCTTTAAGGAAACAGATTAATCATTCTCCCTTTATTTCTTTGGGAAAATTCATTTGGTGTACATCCTATTTGGTATTATGTCCAAGGATCTCGAATGGATTGACATATACCATGTACAACTGTACATCATTTTGACCTAGGAATTCAGGTTTGCCTTACCAGTATTGAAAAGTGATAAAATGGGGCAGAAAATCACCTAAGTGGAAATCATCATAACTGCACATAGGTGAGGTGACATTGGCGTAGTGCCAGCAAGTAAT